TGATGAGAAATGGAAAAAATGGAAATAAAGTCTTTGTAAATAGGGAAGGGTGGAGGGGGTGAAGGGAGGGCTAGGAACGGGGAAAAAATAAGAACCAAGATGCATTATGTAAAGGTACAATTCCCAGTGAGAAATGTAATTGTGTTGTAAACCTACAATGTACCAATAAAAGAATTTAATAAAAAAAAGAAAGAAATAGTGATCAGTCACTACCACATATTCAGTTGCTCAAAGAACTAAGTTCTCAAGAAATTTTATCTTTCACAAATGCAGATGTACACAAATAATCTTGTCATTTATTGAAGAAGTTTCATCACTTATACAATGCTTTCACAGGAGTCATATGAGTTACATGTGAGAATGTACGTTTGTGGAGTCAAATTTGCAAAAGGAAGGAGAAAGAAAGAAGAAAGAAAGAAAGAATGAATGAAGGAACGAATGAATGAATGAATGGAAGGAAGGAAGGAAAGAGAAAGAGAGAGAGAGAAAGAAAGAAAGAAAGAAAGAAAGAAAGAAAGAAAGAAAGAAAGAAAGAAAGGAAGGAAAGTAAAAGGAAGGAAGGGAGAGAGAGAGAGGACATAAAGCAGACTAGAACTCTCTAAAAGTCTTTACACAATTTATATCCCCAATATACCAAATGAGGCAAAGATGAAATACATAGCATAGCAAATTGTAAAATAAATTACTGATAATTAAGTAGGGGGGAAAACTTTCTTTAAAAAAGAAAAAGAAGTAAAAGGAAATTTGACGAAAAGTGTATTATAGGGACAGATTATGTGCCATTACAACTGGCCAATTTTCATGACCATTAATAATATTTTAAAGTCCTGCACTACAGTGAGTAGCTGCTTTTTGTGGGGAAGGAGATTCTCCTCTGAAAATACATTCATATTCGTTTTCTACATGGTGTTGCTCTTTCTGAAATTCTTCTAAGATTTAATGTACACCAGCATAAGCATTCCCTGTTATATCTTTCTTTCTTTCGGTGCCATGCTTCTAGTTTGTAAAAATGTAGATATTCATTCTACATGTAATCACACAAGACAAATTTGGGGGGAAAATACTGATGACAAAAGGCAACACCATTGTATTTCTTATCCTACTGTGCATATAATTATTTTCACAGCAATCATTATCTGCTAGCTTTTTCAAGAAAATGTGGCTTTAATTCATTAAAAGCTCTTGGAATTTCATCAGCTGGAAGGAATACCAATGTACACAAATTATGGTTTTGTTGTTGTTGTTGTTGTTGTTTTGTACCAGGGATCAAACTCGGGACCTGGCGCTTGTAAATTATATATTTTTAAACTGATCTTTTTATTGCTGCCATATCTCATGACCAATCCATTAATCTGAATTTTCTGCCAAGAGGATTGGGCTGAATGTAAAAACACAAACTTTAATGGTTCATGTTCAAAAACCTTTATTTCACCTAATTTCAAGCCTTTCATTACCATTTGGAGATTCCATTGAAATTCATTTTCTTCTGCAAAGTTCACTAAGTACTCAAATGACTATTTATGAAGAGCTTTACTTTTTCAGTCTATTGGTCAGCTTTCCATCACTGGGACCAAATACCTGACATATGAGGTGAGATGAAAAGATACAGTGAATGTTTAAATTTTTCTAAATGTATTACAGTAAAAACACTTTACCATTAATCCCACTCAGAATAATCCCTCTTGCCTCAAACACACACTATTGCTCTAATCATTTCCTAAAGCAGGCCTGGAAGTTCTCTTTCTTGCCTTTAGTTGTGTTGTCATGGCAGTCTTGATGTTCTCAATCTATTCAAAACATTTAATTTCTATCAAATGAAAACATTGCAATATGTCCTCATCCACCTTATTCACTGGATCTGTGACCATGCAAGATCATTCCCCAAAGTCAAAATGATCATGAAAAGAAAACATTTTGAATCAATTCAGGAAATCAAGACAGGAAAATGACAATGCAACTGAAGACACTCAAAAAGTGGCAAGAACAATGGAATAAAATGTGTTTGAAGAAAGAGGGAGTATTTTGAGGAGAATTAATAGTAATGTGTTTTAGTGTAATGCAATTTTTAAAAAATTAAATGTTCACTTTCGTTTTTGTTCACACCATGTAATCCACTTAAAAGAGAAAAGGGTTATTTTAGCTCATGGTCTCAGAGGTTTCAGTCAATGGTTGGCTGGCTCCAAGCAGAAATGGTATGGTGCAAGGGCATGATAGAGGAAAGCTCTCAACTCATGGTGGCCAGAAGCAGAGCACAGAAGAATCCCAGATGAGGGAAATACAATACCAAATACAGTTCCCAGGTTCACACCCCCATGGCCCACCCAGAAAAAATCCAGGAGTGTGCTTTATTAATGTCCCAGGTGTCTCTAAAGCCAATCAAGTTGATAATCAAGGTTAACAATCACGTAGTCAATACATAAACATGTGGATAAATTCTAGAATTTTCAGATCCAACAAGGGCATGAATTGTATATATTTATTTAAAAAAAAAAATCAGGGGCAGCTTCTACTTCTGTCTGCCATCACGTGCGTGCACTTGCCTCCGAGCCTAACCATGTCTTCTCACAAGACTTTCAGAATCAAGCGATTCCTGGCCAAGAAGCAAAAGCAGAATCGTCCCATTCCTCAGTGGATTCGGATGAAGACTGGTAATAAAATCAGGTACAACTCCAAGAGGAGACACTGGAGGAGGACCAAGCTAGGACTGTAAAGAATTGAACATGAGATGCAGCATATTTCTCTCCCCGGAGTCACAAAATGATACATTCTTTATCATGGTCGAGATTACACTACCATATCAAGCTTAAATACAATTGGCTGGACAGTTGAACGTGCTTAATCAGGAATCTTGTTCTGTGATCACACTGAGTCAACAATAAATGTTTTGAAACCTTTTGAAAAAAAAATCAGGTGCAGTTTTGAAAGTTCCAGCCATTAGTCAAAGTACATCAGGTTCTGATTTTTCTATGTTGGATTTAGTGGTACAAATAAGTCTATTTTCAACAGCGAAATTCATAATCCTGAATAGTTAACCATTTGCAATGATTTTTTAAGCATTAGAGGAAACTTCTTTTTGCTGTCTAAAGAGCAGCTTTTTCTGAAGGCAAGCATGGTGCTATGTATGGAGGGACAGAAATAGTACATGATTTAATAATTTTGTAACTATCCTGTGCATAAGTGAAAATGTACTCATTCTTTACCTGCACTTCAACTTTCTACCTCATTTAAAAAAATTTTTTTTCTTTCAATGGGAACTGCAATTCTCAGTATTCTGGCTTTCAGGGTTTCAATTTTTGAGATTTTAATCTTTTAAGTTTGTGATTTTTAAGGATTTTTACCTTTCTGGATTTTAGACTTTAGAGTTTTTGATCTGTTAGGATTTCACACTTGAGATTATTGTGTATCAGGATTTTGCTATTTGGGATTATGGATCAGCATCATTTATGAAGATATTCTTTATGAAGTTTAATAGTTCTCTATTTCCTCATTTACTGAGGTTTCTAGCATGAATGGGTACTGGATTTTCTTAAATGTCTTTCCTACATCTCTTGCTATTATTATATGATTTTTTTCTTTGGACTATTCATGTAAGGGACACATTAATTTTCAAATATTGAAACAGCCTTTCATATTTGGAATAAATTCCACTTGGTCATGGTGTATAGTTCTTTTTATACATGATTGGATTAAATTTGCTAATAGCTTGTTGAGGATTTTTGCTTGTATGTTCATGAGATATATTGGTCTGTAGTTTTCTTGTAATATTTTTGTCTGGTTTTGGAATTAAAGTAATCCTGTCCTCATTTAATGGATTAGGAAGTATTACCTCTGTTTTTTTCTCTCAAAGAACTATGGATTAGGTAGTTTTTTCTTTAGATGTTTGGTAGAATTCACCAGTAAGCCGAACTGGGCCTGGTGCTTTCTTGTAAAGTTTATTATTGGTTCAATTTCTTTAACAGATACAGGCCTATGCAGATTGTCTATTTCTTCTTGTGTTATTTTGGTAGATAATCTCTTTCAAAAAATTGATAAATTTTCTCAAGGTTATAAAATTATGGGCATTAAGTTATTCATAGTATTTGTTTATTGTCCTTTAATGGACACCGAATTGCACTGCCCTACATTTCATTTCTGATACTAGTGACTTGTGTCCACTCTCTTTTGTCTGAGACTGGATGAAGGATTATTAAGTTTTCAAATATTTTTGGAGAACCAGATTTTGGTTTTGTTCATATTTTTTTATTGCCAGTTTTCAATCTCTGATTTCTGCACTAATTTTTATTATTTATCTTCTACTTAGTTTGAATTTAATTTACTCTTCTTTTTCAAATTTCCTAAAGAAATTTAAATGATTGATTTTAGGTTTTCTTTTCTAATATATGTGTTTGATGCTATAAATATCCCTCTAAATATCCCTCTAACACATTTTATTTTATTTAGAATATGTTGTTTAATTTGCAAGTATTTAAGAATATTTCAGGTATCTTTCTGTTATTGAGATTAATTCCATTGGAGTTTAAAAACAATCATTGTATGATTTCTATTCTTTTAAATTATTTGAAGTGTGATTTATGGCCTAGAATGTGATCTATCTTGGTGAATGTTCCATGTGAGTTTGGAAAGAATATACATTCTACTGTTGTTGGGTAAAGCAGTCCACTGATGTCCATGATATGCAGCTAAGTGATGGGGTTTTTTTTAGTACAATTATATGTCATTACTGATTTTTTTGCCTGCTGTATCTATTAATTTCTGATGGGGGAGGGGCCAATGTCTCCAACTGGTTGAGAGTTCATTTATTTCTCTTTGCCATTCCATCTACTTTTTACCTCATATATTTTCATGCTCTGTTAAGCACATACATGTTAAGGACTGTTATATCTTCTTGGAAAACTGATCCCTTTGCAGTATATAAACCCTTTCTTTATCCCACATAATTTTCCTTGCTCTGAAGTTTTCTGTCTGAAACTAATATAGCTAGTCTTGGTTTTTTTGTTGTTGTTCCTTTTTTTTTTTTTTGATACCAGGGATCGAACTCAGGTCCTTCCACTTGCTTGGCAAATGGCGAAACCACTGGACTAAATTCCCGGCCCCCTGCTTTTTTTAAAATTAGTATTAGAATGGTATTCCTTCATCTTTTAAATGTTGATGTATGTTATTCTTATTTCAGAATTGGTTTCTTATAGACAATATATAGTTGGGTCTTTTTCATTTACTCTGACACTGTGGCTTTTAGTTAGTGCATTTAGACCACTGAGGTACAAAGTGATTATTAATAAAGCTGAATTAATATCTACAAATTTTGTTACTGTTTTACATTTGCTGCCCTTGTTCTATTTTTGTCTATTAATCTTTTGAGACCTTTATGGTTTTATCTGAGAATTTTATATAATCCATTTTCTCCCCTTTCTTAACACATCAGTTATATTTTTGTTTTTACTCTAGTGGTTGCACTAGAGTGTGCACTATATATTTACAATAAATCCAAGACCGTTTTCTTTTATAAAATAATTTTATTGGTACATTTTAGGTATATGATATGGTTACATTCATCATTGGAAATTTTCACCTTTACATAATCACTTTTGGTTCTTATTTTACCCCCTTCCCCTGCCCTCCCTTCAACCCCTCCATCCCTCGCTATTTACAAAGACTTTGTTTACATTTTTTCATTTTCTCATATTAATTCCATTCCCTTCTTTATTTTCCCCTACCCTTCCTACTTCCCCTTCCCCTTTGCCCCTTTTCTTCCTATTTCACATTATCTATTATACCTTTGAGTCCTCATTTACACTATCAGTTTCTCACACTAGACAAACTATTCGATATTTACACATGTGTGTGCTATTTATTTCACTTAAGAGTATCACCTCAATGTGCATCCATTTAGCTATAAATGTCTCTAATATTTCATTTTTTATGGCTGAGTAGTACTCCATTCTATTAAAAAAAACCCCACATCTTCTTTATCCAATCTCCAGTTGATGGGCAATTGGGCTGCTTCCAAGTCTTAGCTATTACAAATTGTGCTGCTATGAACATGGGTGCACACATATCACTGTGGTATGATTCTTTTAATTCTTTGGGAAACATACCCAGCAGGGGAATAGCTGGGTCAAATGGGACTTCCAGTCCTAGTTCT